CGGGATCACACGTCCTGCCAGCAAACATGCTCCAGCCTGGGCTCCTCTCTCTGCATGTCCTGCCAAGAAGCCTGTTCCAGCATGAGTTTCCCACAGGGCCACAGCCTCTTCTGGGCATCCACCTGCTCCAGTGTGAGGTCTTCCACGTGCTGCAGGGGGGCAGGCTGCCTCACCATGGTCTTCATCACAGGCTGCAGGGGAATCTCTGCTCCAGCACCTGGAGCACCTCTTGCCCCTCCTTCTTCACTGACCTGGGTGTCTGCAGATTTCTTTCTCTCACATGTTCTCACTCCTCTCTCCAGCTGCAATTGCTGTGCCCCTTTCCCCCCCACCCTTCTTAAATATATTATCCCAGAGGCGCTACCACTGTCACTGATGGGCTTGGCTTTGGCCAGCAGTGAGGCCATCTTGGAGCCGGCTGGCATTGGCTCTGTCAGACACAGGGCAAGCGCCTAGCAGCTTCTCACAGAAGCCACCACTGCAGCCCCCCAAAACCTTGCCACACAAACCCAATACAAGGTCTTAATTGCATTATGAATTGTTTAGAGCTATCAGCGTCTAAAAGGCATGGCTATTTTACCACATGAGAAAAGATCGCTCTGTGGAACAGAATAGTGAAATGTACCATGACAGTACCTTTTCCAGAAAACAAAGGGAACAGAGCGTGTTTCACAGAGGGTTACGTACAGTATTGACTTAGATTGGTTATATTCTCACAGTGCAATGCTATCATGTAGGAGATACAGTAGTTAAGCCTTCTATACCAATAGATAAAGGATAACTCTTTCCACTGAAACTGCCATACCATGATACAACTGGTGAAGTACAAGCACAAACCAGTTTTTTTTAAAAGCCCTTAAGTTGGAACCTACTTCCTCCATGTCTAATATAGAATAATCTAAATTTAATAAAGAATTAGTAATTTTTAAAAGAACTGCAGATGGCCTGAACAGTTACACTTTGCCTGGTAAAGTCATCTCTGGAATAATGGAAGAACTACTCTTTTGACTCTCTGTGTACAATAAGCTGAAGCTTAAAGAAAGTAATCTGAGGAGATGCAATAATTCATTGTTGATTAACATGCAAGAAACAAAATACTGAAAAAGTACTGTCAGGAGATATTGGAAATTTACTGGTAGTTCTTCAAAACAAATTATTTGACAACCAGCTCAAGTATTCTGTCCCTTGACGACAAGAGTAGAGAGACAGAGAAGGTTGGGGGGAGGCAGAACCTTACAATTGCATAAAGTACTTATCATCCAAATGACATTCCTTTGTCCATTAAAAAAAAAAATTAAAAATGGCATGAGTTCTCACCATATTTCTTCAGTTAACAGAGAATGCTCTAGAACTTGAGACTAACTTGCATCGTACAAGAAGATTCCCAAGTGCCTTTGCATAACCAGAGGCCATACACAGAGTGCTACAGCAGGGACATACTATGTTTGGTAATCTAAACTTGTGGGGAAATTGGTTAAGGAAGCTAAACAGTAAAAACTAGTCCTACAACAAAAAACCTAATCCTACAAAAGCAACTAGCTTTCTGCTCGCTTAACTCTCTGAACAAGCAGTGAGCACAGATGTGAGAACACATGCTAGCTTGAAAAATAATGCTAAGAGTGCTATCAACTTTCATTGCTAGTCAAAGTTGCAAAGAGACTAAAAACAAATAGAGGCTGAAATAAAAAGATTACACATTCTATGAACATAGAGACAAAAAAACTAGAAAAAACAATTATGTAAGCTTAAGATGGTTATTGCTAACAAATTCAGGAACGAAAAGTTACAGAATATTAGAGGATGGTCCACCATCAAATGAGTCAGGCTATGAAAAAGCCTTTCAAAAGGCATAGCAGGAAAAAAAAAATTTTAAAAATCACTTTTATGAAGGATACTTACACCAATTCATAATCACAGAATCATTAAGGTTGGAAAAGACCTTTAAGATCATCAAGTCCAACTGCTAACCCAACACCACCATGCTCACCAAACCATGTCCCGAAGCACCACGTCTATGCATTTTTTTAGTATCTCCAGCGATGGTGACTCCACTACCTCCCTGGGCAGCCTGTTCCAATGTTCAACCACTCTCTCAGTAAAGAAATTTTTCCTAACATCCAATCTAAACCTCCCCCAGCGCAACTTGAGGCCATTTCCTCTTGTTTTATCGCTATGTTACTTGGAAGAAGGGACCAACATCCACCTCAACATAAAGAAGGAGAAAAAGGAAAGGAGAAAAGTAAAACCAAATGAAGAGGAACACGTGCCGCCCCACTGCCTGCAGGCAAAACCTCCCCGATAAGCACTTATGGGCCACAGCCAGCTTTATCTGCTGCATTTTGGATGTCAAAAGGGCACGGGAGGGCTCCCATGCCCCCTCCAGAGGGGTATTTCATAACCCCAGATAGCTAGTGGCTTACGCCTTGAACTGCATTTTATATTCTAGTCATGTTGACTACCTACAGACTAAACAACCCCAGTTCCCTCAGCCGCTCCTCATAAGACTTGTTCTGCAGATCCCTCACCAGCTTAGTTGCTTCTCTTTAAGATTAAGTGTAGTAGAAATGCATTGTTCCAGATTCAGTTCTTTTATTTTTCACACCTCATGGAAAATCCTAATTATTCTGGCTTGCTCTCACTAAGAGGGAACTTTGAACAACCATAATGACTAAGCAGTCATCTAGATCTGATATCCAACTATGAATATTCCTCAGAATGAATAAATAACATCAAAATCCTACCTGCGGGAATCTTCGTAGTGACTTGTTACTTTTCACAATCCCAGACAGCTAGTGGCTTATGCTTTGAAAGAACTGCATTTTATATTCTAGTCATCTTGACTACCTACATTGCAGGTCATTTATATTAAAAACTGAATTACTATCAATACTTGATAGTTATTTACATTCAAGACATCCCAGGTCTAAGGAAAGTACTGAGAAATTAAGACCTTACTGATGTTTCAATGATGTTAATATGTAAAATTTGTGTTTCCATATGCCTCCCTTAAGAGAAAAATGACAAGTTAATGATACAAATATTCAAAGTTTATCTACTTCCTCAAAACATGAGACACTAATTTCCTATGTTAAGGAATACAAACGTATATGCTTTACGCCCAAACACTTAATAGTTGCATTAGGCAACTTCCTCTTTTTCACTGTCAGCTCCTGCCCTGCACTATTCTTTGTTTGAGCTATCAGCACACACTTCAGAGAAAGCAGGAAGAGAACAAAAGACAGTGAAGCCAGGGAAGGAGGGGGAAAAACAATCACATCTCTCAGAGGGAAATGTAGCAGCCTTCTGCCTTTTTGCAAAACCAACGAATGAAAATAGAGGTAAGCAGATAAATATTTCCACTTCTGTTTTTCTGCTGAATGTGGAGTCTGTTTTTGTATGAAAATGTATTATAGTTCCTGAAATTTAAGAACAGATACTGAAAACAGAAATTCATAGAAAAAGGGAAGTGTGTACATGTCTCTCAAAGAATGCATTATCTTAAAAAAATACTTTGCTTTCTCAGTTAAATTAAAATTGAAAGAAATGCAAGATGACTTGTGGCAAGCATTGTGCAACTCTGATCTTGGTTAAAAGTATATTATTTTTAAACAAAGTTTGAATGACAAGTTACACTAATAATTTTAAGAGCACACACGTGTCAAAAGCTGTTTAAAACCTGCATAATATTTAGTTTTATCCACAACCCAGCGGTATCAATGAGATACCACTTCACTGAAATTTTCCACAACTTTTTCTGGCATCACCATTTATTTAAAGCTACAAGCTTCTCTGTCCCAGTAATTTTTTGGTGGCAATGTATATGTAATAAAAAGCACTACTACTGTACAAACAAATAAGCAATATCCCACAAAGGTATTTTAGTATTCACTTTTTCAAATGTAGTATAAAAACTGACAGCTAGTACCAACTAAAAAGTCCAGTCTCAACTGCCTTACCTGAGGTATGTACCGTATATGAAGAACAGTGACATCATTAATCCATTCAAAAGAAAAATCACAGCAACATAAAATGAAGCAGGGTCTCCCAACCCTAACAAACAAACAGTTAACATATGTTGTCAAATATAGAAGAAAGATCATATTGCTTATAAACCACCATACAATCAGTATAATACAGCACACAGCATACTACCTTACTATATCTACAGAGAGCAAGAACAAAAAAAAAGTTAACGTCACCAAGATTATTGTTGAGATTCAGTCTGAAGACTACACTTCTGTAAGAAGGAAAAAAAAAAAAAAAAAAAAGAGGATGGGGGGACACAGCATTGGGACAGCCAGCAACAGAACAAGCCAAGAGAGAAGTATTAACTGTGAGGAAAAAACCTGCAATGTATAGAAGGCATAAGCATCACTAAGAATATTCTCTACAGACTACGTTTAGACTCCATAGCGCTTTTTAGAACAGGTTTGTACTTCCTATACTCTCACTTCCCACCTCTTTCAGGAATAAATCCATTTTTAAACATATCACACACAATGCTCTTTGCTTGCTTTGTTTCATTAGGAGCCAAGAGATTTTCCAATAATACAAGTCTTTCAATTTATTCATTCAAACACACTTCTGTGTTCACATTTCTGTTGTTATTCTCTTTCCCACTATTTCTTTAAACCCTCCTTGCTCTAATAATTTCAGCAGTACAGCATAAAAAGCTTTATTGATTATAGAAAAGGTAGCAAAACTTCATCGTTTCATATGCAGAAATTATTATTCATCATTGCTGAAAATACAGCAAGGCAATTCTCTAAAGTAAGATTATGATATGCTCACCAAACATGGTAGTCTCAATAGTTGGTGTTTTTGTTGGTTTGGTTTTGTTTTTACAGAAAACAGGAAAAGTTATACATTTATTCACTGTTTATTGCTTCTGACAAAATTTGAGAAAGTGAATCATTCAAGCTGTGAAGAAAGTTCTCACAGCCTTTGTACAAAGGAAAAATACTAAGTTGTAACCACACAAAGACATTTTAAATGATAAAATGAAACAACTTCACAAGTTACCAACTATCATTCGGCCTTAACCGACTACAGAACATACCAAAAACATTTCTCGGCAAGGTACTTTTATGGCGTAATACTTACTTGACAAGCCAATTCTTTAAATGTGGAGAAAAAAAACCAAGAAGTGGCAGCGTCCAAGCTTTGGTATCAAAATCAAAGTGTAAGATTGAAATTCTTACACTGAATAGTAGGTCACAAGAGGAAGAGGATTCTTCCCAGCAGAATTACTACACAAGATTCCTCCAGAAGGGAGCCTTGTGGTTACCTTTTTCCCCTTCCTCCCCATTCCTCAAGTTGCAGTTAGGGGAGGAAATATAGAGGCTTTTTGAAATGTAAGAACTTGGAACGTATTGGGGATTCTACAGAAGCTACAAAAATTTAATAGATGTACAGGGGCCTCCAATTACATTTAGGACATCTTATTTTTTATAACAGTCCAACATCATGAAGGCTTAGACTACAACTGTGAAGTGCATGCAGTATAGGAATCTGACCTAGGTAGGAGGAGCTATCTAACAAGCAAAGCCCACCTTCTCACCCGTGGTGTTCTTAAAAGCATCTTTTTTCATGCTTCTCACTTATGTTGTGAACCTGCCAAAAACACAGGCTTAGCCAAATGAAAGCATGTCAATGATAAAGACACAAGAATACTTATTACTGCTGAAATACATAAAGCCACAGTTACATGCTTCCAGGAAGAAACTAGAATAAAACACAACTCACCCTCGCAACTTTCAACAGGACTAAGCCCTTTTCCTCTGTTTACAGTCCAGCATGTCTTTGTTGGTACACCAAAGAAATCCATAACAGCAGTATACATGCGGTACCAGCTGGCAAGGACCACCTAGGTGGAAAACAGGATTTTAAGTTTCTGAAAAGGAACTTCAGATTAGCTCAGTGCCCAAGGTAACCTCTCATGACAACTGGCCCTCATGCAGGATTTTTTTTAAATTCAGAATTTATCTCAACTACTTAGCATTTTTGACCATAATTTCCTAAAGGCATCCAACACAGACCAAGTGTTCATTAATAGACTACAGTTATGCCTGCTTTGGAACAGAAATAATTTCATGCATGCAATATTTGAAAAAAATTATATATTTCAGCATTGTCTGGAAGGTTCACCATTTAACTATATTTGTTTAACAGATATTAAAATCCCAAATTTTGTTGACAGAGGACAGTTAGCCAAATTAAATCCATTAAAACCAATTGATTTCTTTTTCCACCTGGCAAGAATATTAATGGACCAAATCTTTAGGGTTTTTACTCAGATAAACTTTGGTAGGTTAAATTTAGGCATGCATTAGAAAGGGCTTCCAGATGCAATGTAAGACAGCATTCCCATTTTCCATGAAAGGTTGTACGATCTTATAACAACAACCAAACTAAATCTCAACACCCGAGACAAAAAACATCAGTATTTTACACACAGAAAAATGACAACTCATCTCACAGCAAAGTCACCAGTTAAACATTACCGAGCTATTATGTCAGGATATAAATGGCTTTACAGAGTTCCTAAATGAGTAGTGTGGCCATTCCAGTTGAGCTGCTTTAAAATTTATAACCCAGGGGTTCCCAAATTGAAAATACGTTTCACTGCTGCAGTATTAGCTGTCTCAGCCCTGTGTCACAGAAAACATGTACAAGAAGGATGATTCTCTCTTTTCTTTCCTCACACAATTAATAAAACTCTTCATGTCACTTCTATCTTCAAGGGCAAGAAGGAAACACAGGGGATTACACCTCGATCTCTGAGAACGTGATGGAGTAAATCCTCCTGGAAACAACTTCCAAACATACTAAGGACAAAAAAGTTACTGGAAGCAGTCAGCACGGATTTACAAAGGGGAAATCATACCTGCCCAACTTTATAACCTTCCGAGATGACTATCTTGGTAGATGAGGGGACAGCTGTGGATTTTTTTTTAATCTGGTGCCAATTCTGTTCTATGCCTTCATTAAAAATAGATGATGGCACAAGAGAACATCCTCACATCATCAAGTTTGCACATGAAACAAAATTGGAAGGAGTGGTTGATGCTTGTATTGCCATTCGGAGGGACCTCAACAAGCTAGAGAAATGGGCCAACAGGAATCTCACGAAAGGGAAATCCAAAGTCCTGCACCAGGGAAGAACAACACCATGCACCAGTACAGACTGGAGTTGAGCAGCTAGAAAGCAGTTTTGCAGAAAAAGACCCATGAGTCCTGGTGGACAAGTGGGACTTGAGCTAACAATAAGCCCTTGTTGCAAAGAAAGCCAAATGTATCCTTGAGTGTATGTCACCGGGACAAGAGACATGATCGTTCCCCTCTACTCAGCACTGCTAAGACCATACCTCCAGTGCCGAGTCCAGTTCTGGGCTGCCCAAGACAAGAAGGACAGAGTAAATATGACTCTCCTTTCGGTTGATAAGACAAGAGATGATAAGTACATATTAAAATACAGGAAATTCCACTTAGACATAGGAAAAAACTTTTACTTTGAGCATGGTCAAACACTGGAACAGGTTGCCCAGAGGTTGAGATAATTCAAAACAAAACCAGAGATGGTCGTGAGCAACCTGCTCTACTTCACCCTGCTTTGAGTTGAGTGTTGAGACTAGATGATCTTCAGACATCCCTTCCAACCTCGACTGTTCTGCAATTCCATAATTCATTAATTTTTAATACCAGGGCTCCAATCATCATGGCTTACTTCATTATGGCCTTTACACTCTCACAATGTAAACTTAAATACTTAAAATACACTACATCTTTCTAGACCAAGACTCCCTGCCTCAACAGTCTGTCCTGCAATGTACACTATCCTGAATTCCTTGAGGCTTTCCGAACATCTGTGCTCTGGCACTTCTGACTGCACATGTGTGCATACATGAACCAGACACTTGTCCCATCTCCAGACAGGCAAAACCAGGACTGGAGAACCAAATCCAAACCTTTCCTCTTATCACCTGAATGTGGTTTGTACACTGCCAACAGAATGCATACAGCAGCTTAGAAATACCTGTCTAGCATATGCATATCTGTATCACCAGCCCTGAGGTTGACATTACCAGCTCTTATTGAACGAATGTTGCACCAAAAAATTTTATTGATTTATCAACTTAACCTTTTTATGTCAGAAGTGCTTGCGTCTGCTGCAGATGTTACCACACATGAATACTCTCTAAAAAGGTACCAGGTTAGGTACTTCATGTAAAACAAACATTTTTTGCCAAAAGCTACTTTACATGAAACAGTTAACATGGGCATAAAAATGGAAGCAAATCAGTAGTACAAAACTGCTAGGCCAATTAGAACACAATGTCATTTTTTGAATTTCTACTGTCCTGTATCAGATGAGGGCATAAATCCCAAACTTGCAAAACAAAAGACTGGTGCTCAGACTCAGGAGATCTCTGTAGGCTGGGCCAGTCCTTTGCTGTAAACGAACATGTAGAAAAGTTTTTACTAGATGCCTTTAAGTAAGCACTTTAATGCCAACTATGCAACACATCACTCCAACTCAAATTTTCATCATCACTGGCACACACAGAAATATCAACTGTTCTGTAATGATGAACAGCCAGAGAGTAAACTTAACACATTATCTCTCCGCCACAGAAATTAACACATCATCTCTCTGCCATTTTGCATCAGTGATCAGAGATGAAAAAACAACACAACCACAACCTGACTGGAACAGGAATCTGGAACAACCTCACTATGCAGCAAATACCTGGAAAATCAAGACTTTATTTGGACTATAATAATGTACAACTACAAAGACTGACTTATTGCTTTTCACGGATTTTTTTTTTTTTTTTTTTTTTTTTTTTTTTTTTTTTTTTTACACTTTACACTGCTTATATTTATAATTTACACAGACGATGTAGTGATTGCTACGGACTCACTTTACTTGTTTTTAACCTTCTTTTGAAGTTTTCATGGCTAGTACCAGCTGTACATGCAGGTGAATTGTGTTACTTAATGGGTTTAATATCCTGTTTAGTAACTGGATTTCAAGGCTATTTTTGATGCAATTAATTTTGAAATCCATTAAACAAACAAAAATTTTATTAAAATTCAACTTTAATGCTACTATTGGGCTGAAAGAGCTGGAAAGATTCTGAAATATGAAACAGGAAATGAAACACTTTCAGAAACAATGTCTGGATACTGAATATCAGAAGGAAAAATTTCACTGCCAACAAAGAAATCTACAAGCATCTTCCCACCACCCAGCCCCATTATAATCATAAGTAAAATTATATAAATTTGGAGAATATACTTCAAATGTCAAGGTGCACCTATTGACAGTTTTATAGATGTAGTTATGTGGAAAAAGAGAGCACTCAAGAAATACACTTTTTAAAAAAACTATTTACAGTAAGGCTAGACAACAAGCAATAAATGATTGAAAGGAGCAGAGAAGACTATTTGCTTTGCATGCCCACACAGGCACAGAAAAGATGAATAAATTCATACCTTACCACCAAGTTCTATAAGCCAGTAAGATCCTAGAAAACTCTGAATGAACAGACAAGCCTACACATTTTGCACAGTAATCTACCTAATGTTCTTACAGAGTGTCAGCCACTATATCCGATTGCTCCTGTTTTGACTAAGTAAACTGGATGATGAAATCATCTTTTATGGTGATACTGATGATTCTCTTATAGCAAGTTCACTTGACTAGTTACCTTTGGTTTTTTTAAGTCAGACTATAGCTGAAGTCAATAAAACTTTCTCAGCTAAAGAAAATAACTTTATAGTATTCAAATAAGGTACATGTTACTAATGCTGCATTTCTAGAACTGAACTGCAATCACTTTGGAGTTTAAAAAAACAAAACAAAACCTCCAAAAAACCCCTCAAAGAAAACCAATGAGAGGGTAACAAAAAGCACTCATCTATAATATTTAGTTCTGCCAGAGCAAGGAATTAAGCAGCAAATTAAACTACTACATACAAACTGCATAAATACATTCACGCTGAGAACTCTTACACATATAGTTCCTGGAAGCAGCTCTGCTCTGAGAGCAGAACGAGTATGAATACTAGTACCCAACAATTACAGCCATGATGAGTCCTTGGTTCTCAAAAAAAATAAGCTGTTGCTGACACGAGTCACAGAAAGGAGTATTAACCAAAGGAGTATTCCCTTTGTAATATGTTTGAGACACACTGGCAAAACCATAAAGAGAGAAAACCAAACATTCCTGTACTTAAAGATACGGGTTCTTTAGTGGAAAAAAAGCAGAGTAGGAATGTAATCTATCCAGGTAACAATTCTAACATCAAGTACATACAAAACAACAGCAATCAATCTTCTACAGCAGAATTTCTTCTGCAACATGTAAGTAAACTATTACCATTCATAGATTTTAGGGCAACAGTGAACTGTGATGATTTGTCAGTACATTGTCCCACACAAAATGCAAGCCAAAAGTCACTGCAGACTTTACTGTCACATACTACTGATACTTCATATGTCATATTTCCTGAAGTACACAATGTCAGCAAGTAAGCTTGCTTTCAGTGAAAATAACAGAAGATGACAAGAAGTATAGAACTGGATTGCAACTACAGGGCGTGAAATACTAAGATCTAGAGAGTATTCGCATTTGATTGGACATACTTGAAGTCTGAGAATTGATCACAAAGTATGAAGTAACTTTCTCATTTAAAATCTGGAACTAAAATAAGGTATTTAAGCAACACTTCATTAGTCACTATATCTTTACAACCACGTTTTCCAGAGTAACATTTCTTACAAATTTGCAGTCAAATCTAAAGAAATCAAAGATTTATCAGAAGGTATTATTTTTAAAACATAGCTCACCTCTGGGTAAAGATTGAACCTTTGTAAGGTGTTAATCACTAAAGGATATTCAGTTAGTCTGTCATTCATAATTGCCCATACTCCATTCCAAAATGATGGTGCCTCAATAATGATCTTGAAGTAGGAATAATAAAGACCCTACAGAAGAGCAGAATCATTATTTACGATTAAAGGGGTAACTTCTGCTTCAGGAACTGCCATATACAAGCTTCATTTTTAAATCAAATTTTATAATGTAACAAATAAGACAAACTGATTCAAGATGACTATTGTTTTTCAAATCTCTTCTATTAGTGCCACTGAAACAAGCAATGTGGGTTTCCTTCCACCTTGTTTCATAGTGTTTTCCACCTGGAAATCTCTCATTTGGGCTAGTAACTATGCATAAACATAGTATTTAACAACTCTCAAAATAAAAGCAGCCAAAAGGTGTATGTGTATGCAAACATTTATTAATTTTACAAAAAAAAATTTAAAGCTGCAAAACAAGACTATAATTGAAAGTATGCTACAAGGTTCTTGTGGTTTTGTATTTTAGATCCTCTGGAATCCTATTTTTAAATTATATTTTAAATGAACTGTGAAAAGATATATTCACATTGACAGCTGCAAAACACATAAATGCTCTGCATGTAAAAGCGTAATGCATGTCAGTTGAAAGATATCAACATATTTACTTATCTAGAAGGTATTAAGAAATTTTGGAAAGCCCACAATCACAAGGTTACAGACAGAAAATTTCCAATCACTGTTTATTGAAATATAATCTAACCATTTCCGTGCGAAAAGCCATTTCTCTTTCTAGTGTAGACAGGTGAGAAAAATGACGGTCATTTTCAAAAAGAGTTGTTATGTGACACCTGTTAAAAAATAATAATAATTAAAGCTGAATAAAGAGTTTTAGAACCTGTACTAAGTCACATATACCAAGGAACAGCTGGCAAAACATTCAATGAAGTCCCAATGTTTACTTACAAACTGCTACATTAATTTACTCATACAGTATACCAACATTCTCCTCTAACTGGACTACTTTAAATGGAAAAAGTACAAATCTAAATTGTATTACAAAATTAGTTATAATACTCTTTTGCGTTTTAACTTAAGTGCAGACACTTAAGAATCAAAAGTTTAATTCTATTAAAACTATCAAGTCTACATATTAAGAAAGAAAATTCAAGTATCTGACAAATGAAAAGAATCACAGATCCAAAACTGGTGAAAATAACAGTGCATATACAAATAGCGTATGTTTTTTCCACAAAAATCTTCCCTGACTTGTATTTTAACGCAGTTATCTGCCATTATATATAGATGCACTTACCATCAAAAGTATCTTTAAATACAGGTGCAGCTA